TAGGTCAACGTAACAAAACAGACTGTACCAAAATACTTTTTCTAAATTACATAGTTAAGTTATATTTAAATTTATATACAGGTATGGGAACCTGGCATTCAAAAAGATCAAATATACAGAAGGACAGATATCCTGTGCAATTCCCTGTATTCAGTAAAGGTTTGAAAACTAGAGACAAAGATTTATTCTATAATAATGCAGGAATGGCCCGGAAACACAAAGGTATGTACACAGTCACTAAAAGACTAATCTGTTGTTCAATGCAGCAGTAAAATTTTGTACATGGCCCTACAGTAGCAAAATATACAGAAAAATGGGAGCAATTAAAGGCATAACCCAGCGTTGAGTTGCTAACAATCATGAACTAATATGGGCAGATGAGCACCTGTCAGTTTTAATGCACATGCGTTTCTAAAGATATCAGTGAAAGCACACAAATATCTGTTCTCATGCGTTTCCAGTTCATGTGTGTCGAAACACTAAGAGGTTTGCCGACCGCTCTAATTAAATCCCTTCGTAGATGCAGCAGCATGATCAGTCCTGGGGGAAAAGAGGGTGACCACACTAAATCCAAATTTTATTCTAGGTTTGAATTAGGGTGAGGCACTATTCATATATCCCCATTACTGCAGCCCATAGTGCAATTTAGCTGCATCGTGTTCATGGACTGCATCTCCTATGCCACATGCACTAAACTGAATGAGTTCAGTAAATGTAACATGCCTAACATGAACTGACAACAACAATCAGTGAAGACATCAAAGAGATCTGATCCTGCCTCAAGCATAGATTTGCATGGAGACCGAGCTGTTGGCAGATTGCAGGTTCTAGCATGTACAGAAACGGTTAATTGTCATCATACCCTGACTTGATTACCGAAAATTCTTCTTACATCATCTGTGGGGAGCACAAGTTATGAGTAAAAAGGCAAGCAGCAGTGCTGATGGTCCTGTATTATACACTTCCCTGTCCTTCATATGTTTAGGCTCTTATTTATCTGCTTAAAGACATCAAACACGGTCAGATAAAACACTGATGGAGACAAGTGAGGTTATATCTGCCAGTCCGCTGTTAAATCTGCCAGCTAATAGAGCCAGTTGCAAGCTTCCTACATGACTTGGTCGACATTGCACCAAGGAACAATGTCAGAATGATTCCAAACCGTTAATGCATGAGATAATCAGCAATATCTTGGATTGGAAATTCTCCTTACCATGTGGAAATTAAAAACAAAATGTCACCCAGTTAGGTTTGATCTTCTTTAAAGTACTGTATATTAAACAATTTTTTTTTTACATCTTATTGCTGTTGATCGAAGGTGGGAAGGGAACATCAGAACATGCCTGCCCATTGAGCACTAGCATGGCTGTTTAAAGCCACAAAGAGAACCCTGCGTAACAACTCAGGAAAGCAAATGGGAGCCAAGGATGAACCGTTGACACCCTTTAATAGGAAGTGTCTAAAAAGGAGCTTCATGGCGGCAGCATCACCATGCATTAAGCTCAAAATTTAAAAAGTGAAAAAAAATTTTGATATTACATTGAAATTGTATGACATTTATGTTATTGGATTTACATCTATTTTAAGCTTCTAGCTGACTTCATATAACAAGGTGACAGTGATCATGGCCAAAACATAGGAGTGTGGTGGGATTCAAGGGTTTAGCTCCTATCTTTGGCCAAGCACCCCACCCTGGTGGCAATCATTGAGCTTTTGGATCACCTGAACAATATCACAAAGATGTGAACCAGAATTGGGTCAAATGAGAAAAGCAGGAGGTATTAATAAAGGTATAAACTTGCTTTTGGTGTCCACGGGCATTGACTTTTCTGACGGAGTTGCAGGACCTTTTACTGTGGTTCAGCTAAACTCATTACAATTCAAATGAACAGAAATAAATCACCAATTCCGAAGATGATTGCACAGGTTGTACACAAAACCATTCCAGGCAACAAAAGCAAAGCTTCACCTTTCATAAGACTTAAGCAGTGGAGATGCCGCGATCCACTTTTAGTGCTATAAGGCTGCATCACATGAGAAACTGTTCAAATGCTCTACCACCCATCTGCTCTTTTGGAGAAGCAAAAACAGCTCAAGCAGCATACAGTCATGGCCAATATTTTTTGCATTTCTGTCAGATAATGCCTCTTTGCCCAGAAAACTGCTGCAATTACAAATGTTTAGGTATTCTCAAGTGTATTTCTTTTGTTTGTATTGGTATAACACAAAATAGTAGAGAAACAAAAAGCCAAATCTGACGCATTTCATGCAAAACCCACAAAATAGACTGGACAATATTATTGGAACCATCAATTTAATATTTGGTAGGACACCCCTTGGAAAAAATAACTGAAAATCAATTGCTTTCTGCAACCATCAATGAGTTTTACACCTCTACTGAAATTTTGGACCACTCTTCCTTCGCCAACTGCTCCAATCTGACACATTCCACGCAAAACCAAAGAATTAACTGGACAAAATTATTGGCACCTTCTCACAATTGTAAAATAATTCCAAGTTTGTGATGCTCCTGTAATTTGTAATTAAACTCACCCATATCAAATAAACAGGTGCTGACAGTATTGAAATCACACTGGCAACCAGTTAAAATGGTGAACAATTGACTCATCCTTCCTGTCATGCGCCTGTGTGCCACATGGAGCACGGAAAAGAGCAAATAATTGTATGAGGATTTGAGAGCAAAAATTTTGGAAAACTGGACAATCTCAAGGATACAAGTCCACCTCCAGAGATCTTAATGTTCCTGTGTCCACTGTGCGCAACATTGTCAAGAGGTTTACAGCCTATAGCACTGTAGCTAATCTCCCTGGATGTTGACAAAAGGGAAAAATTGATTAAAGATTGCAACAAAAGATTGTCTGAATGGTGGATAAAGAACCTCGATCAACTTCCAGACAAATTCAAGCTGACCTTCAGGCACAGGGTACAATTGTGTCAGCTCGCACTATATGTCGCCATCTGAATGAAAAGGGACGCTATGGCAGGAGACTCAAGAGAATCTCACTTCTGCACAGAAACATAAAAAAGCCAGATTGGAGTTTGTTAAAACTTATCTGAGGAAGGTAAAATCCTTTTGGAGAATGTGCTGTGGACAGACGAAACAAAATTACAGCTTTTTGGTAAAGCCCATCACTCTACTGGTTTCAGAAAAAGCAATGAAGCCTTTAAAGAAAAGAATACAGTCCCTACAGTCAAGCATGATGGTGGTTCACTGATGTTTTGGGGTTGTTTTGCTGCTTCAGGCACTGTATGTCTTGACCATGTACATGGCATTATGAGATCTGAAGACTACCAAAGAATTCTGGGGTGCAATGTAGGGTCCAGTGTCAGAAAGGTGGGTCTCCATCAGAGGTCATGGGTATTAAAGCAGAACAATCATCTCAATTCTATAGAGCACCTGTGGAGAGATTTCAAAACAGCAGTTGGGAAAAGGAACCCTTCCAAACAGAGACCTGGAGCAGTTGGCGAAAGAAGAATAGTTCAAAATTCCAGTAGAGAAGTGTAAGAAACTCATTGATGGTTACAGGAAGCAATTGATTTCAGTTATTTTTTTCCAAGGGGTGTGCTACCAAATATTAAATTGAGGGTACAAATAATTTTGTCCAATCCATTTTTAGGGTTTTGCATAGAATGTGTCAGATTTGGCTTTTTTTGTTTCTCCAATTTTGTGTGTTATACCAATACAAACAAAAGAAAAACAATTTTCTGGGCAAACTGGTGCATTATTTGACAGAAATGCAGGGGTACTAATATTTTTGGCCATGACTGCATATCAACAATCAACATCCTTGCATCCGTATGAATGGTACGTGGTCAATGCAGTGTGCAAGGACACCTAATGTAATTACAATAATATCCTGAGTACTACAGCCATGCCAGAAAGAGGTAATGCAAGCCAAATGAGAGCGTGCACAAGGCCTACCAATCGTATATTTTACACCAAAAGCTTTAAATTAAAGTAAACCTGTGAACAGAAGAAATAGTAGTGACCTGGTTATATCTAAATCACAGATCTAAGACAGGCATGCAGAGGATAAAAGTTGGAAAGAAACCTGACCATGTTTCTCTCGTGAAAGGTGGGCTTTAATAAAAAAAGCTGTTATTCTGACACTCTTGCTTCAATGTAAAAAGCAATTTCCTAATTATGCAAATATAGCATAAATTGTCCATAGAACAGCAGCAGGTATCCATTAAACAGGCTATATTCTGGGTCACAGTCTGACCTTTCATTGAAGACAAAGTAACTTGACAAATAGTCTGACTGTAACCTGAAATGCAATTTGTTTAATAGAGTCAGTTTGAAGATTTCTTAAACATGAATGAATAGGAAATCCTTTATGCTAGCCATTTTTTTCATAGCCAGGTTGTGCCCAATGGGGTTGTCTCCTGCAGAAGGTATTACCAAGAGAATGTGTGCTTTGTGCTGGTTCTGGACCCTATAGCTTCAACAATAACTGAGGTTATAACATGTATACAAATCAGGACTTCTGACTTTTCTTTAACTTTTTGTACCTGCATATGTGTCCCAGGTCATTCACATAAACTACTGAAGGTCAGAATAACAAGGCAACCAGAATTTCAGAAGGAAGTCAGCAATGACAGGTTTAGGGAAGATCCTTTGTCTGCAAACCCCCATAACTGAACAATTTTATGGATCCCATATCTGTATATGAACATATATGTGAACAATTCTTCTTCAAATAGTACCATTAGTAGAGTACCTAAGTGCTCATCCAGTTCAGGGTGATCCATTTTCTTTTTGGCAATATACCAGCTACATACAAAAAATAATTGGCACATAAAAAATAAAATCATAAAAAGGTATTTGGAAACCAATTCCATAGCTTTCATGCAGCAGGGAGACAGTCCTTGTCTAAGTAAAGATGTGCTTTCTTTTCAATCCGTTACTAGTTAGGGTATGTGAAAACCCCAGAAAAGGATTGTGCTATGTCAGATATAAATGCTTGTCATCGTACCTTCTAAAGTTTAGAGTATTCTCCATTTTTGTTGGAGATCACCAATACTTTCATAGTCACTTTCCCCTTGTGGGGGAACCCCCTGGCCAGCATTACAGAATGTAGTAGTCCTGTCCTCTTCTCGACATATTGAGGTGATGGCTTCATACTCTGGGTCCAGTTCACCATTTAGGATGTCCACTGGAGGCGGCAATTCAATGAGATTAGGGCTCTTGTCAATGTCCCTAACTGCAGCATATGTCCCATTGCAGGAAGTGGGAGATATCTCAACATCCTGGATGTAGGAATAATGGGAGATATCATCTTGATGTCTTCTGGATTGTCCAGTCCTGGAAATTCTTGAATACATGGCAGAAATCTACAAGAAGAAAAAGACGTTATGCCTGTGTGAGTATGCAACTCTCTTGGTGTAAACCTATACAGAGCTATATATGCTACCTCCACATCGCTTTCTGGGCCTGGTGAATGAAGATTAGATACTAGGTGCTGCACTGTGGAGGTGCACTGGGAGTGTGAAGTGTCTCCCCTACCAAGAATTAGCTATTACTTAGCTGGGCTGGAGGCAGATCAGGGGAGCATGGGAAAGTGGGAAGGTTAAAAAGAGCCTTTTAGGACTCCTTCAGAATAAGGAACCTTCCCCCCAGTAAGTGAAAATTAGCAGTTTATCACAATTCATTAGTTCCCAGATATTCTCCCATGTACTCTCTGTGATTACATCTGTGGTGCACAGAAGACCACATACATGTTAAACATGACAGAGGCCAACCCAAGGAAGAAGTATGGTTGCAGCAAGCATTAAAGGAGAAGTATGGTCAAAGCTTTTTGGCCCTAATACTCCTGTAGGTCACAGGTGTGCACTTTGTTCTTTACTCCTGTGAACCATATTCAACCGGTCCAGATTATGGAGGGATCCTGACGTTAATGTTGGGATCCACCCAGATGTCTGGGGGTTAGCTGGCTCAGCCTCTCTGTGGAACCCTGAGAGCCTGAGCCAGCTGCTCCCGCCCCCTCCACAGCCTGGAGCTCCAATGATTGCTGGAAAGGCAGAGCAGAGAGCCAATGATGGACAGTCCCCAGCTCTCTGCTCACTGAAGACCAAGAACTGAGTGATCAGCTGTCTTTGATCACTCAGTTCTCAGTCACAGAGGTGGCGGGGGACAGATGCTGCATTGGACCAAGGCTGCATCCACCTAGGTGAGTATGGATGTTTATTATTTTCAAAACTCACACTTCTGTTAATTTTGGGAAAATGGTGCACACTATGGGGGAAGGTACGTTTAAAATATTCATAGTCACCTACTACTGTAGCTGCACCACTCCCTCTGGGGTTACCAAGACATATACATTCCAGCAGCATCCACCCATAACTACAACCAAGTAAAATTAAAAAACAGATTAACCGCGCATGGTCATAAACATGTGCATATTTTAGACATATCGTAAACCAGTCCCATAATTTGTGTAAAATAAAGTGCTCGTTCTTGTGTTCAACTTGTATTCAAAATCCTGATTGGTGCTCCATTGTGCTCAACAAAAGTGCCCCACATGGACTGACACTCACCCTATTTCCATGACCATCTATCTCTAGAATGGTCATTAGTGCTTTGCGGGATAATCCCAGTAAGCCAATGGTCCCCGGATCCTTTAGCCTGTAATCATCTATCCTTAAAGCGGTCCGTGACATATAAGGAACAAGTTCCAAAAACACCCGCTGTCTCCACAGCTCTGCAAGCAGCAAAGAAATGTGTCATCATATATGAAGTAAAAGAAGGGGACATCCCATAGTGTAAAATTGCTTGGTGCCTTTATTGGGGTAATTATATGAATATACATTCACAAGAAAAGGGACTATAGCCCGGCACCTGGTGTAGTCAGCCTTGTTGTAAATCAAAGTGGCACTTCCTGAAGACGATCTTTGATCGAAACCCGTCGAGGTTTGCCAACGCAACTTCTACCGACGTCACATCCACCCTGTGTAATGAACGCTGCTCTGAGGAGCGATCAGGTCAGCAACTTCCATCTTTGATTTACAACAAGGCTGAGTACACCAAGTGACGGGCTATAGGCACTTTTCTTGTGAGTGTATATTCATACAATTACTCCAATAAAGGTACCAAGCAATTTTACACTGGGATGTCCCCTTCTTTTTCTTCATATATGGTGACACATTACTTTGCTGCTTGTGGAGCTATCGGGCGTTTTTGGAGCTTGTTCCTTATATGTCACGGACCAATTTAAGGATAGATGATCAAAGGCTAAAGGATTCGGGGACTATTGGCTTACTGGGATTGTCCCGCAAAGTGTTAATGACCATTCTAGTGATAGATGGTCATGGAATGAGGGCGAGTGTCAGTCCATGTGGGGCACTTTTGTTGAGAACAATGGAGCAACAATCAGGATTTTGACTACAAGTTGAACACAAGCATGAGCACTTTCATTTACACAAATTATAGGACTGGTTTAAAATATGTCTAAAATATGCACGTTTATCACCATGCGCAGTTCATCTTTTTTTTAATTTTACTTTTTATTAATTATTTTACACAATTAGAAAACTACTGCAATTAGGTCTAGTTTGTGTTGAGTGACAAAATATCTATAAGCGCAGGAGCAATTTCTCTTTATTTATCATAATTACAACCAGTTTTAAATCAATTTAGCCCCAAAAACTTTATTTGCAACGTGAACATACAGATGAAGGTACAAGAAAAACTTTTCTTAAGGAAACTTAGTAATGCCTTCTCTCAGAGTTTAACATATTTAGGTAAAATGCATAAAAAAAAAATTATACTCTTCTTTCATACAAAACATGCTTGGTGGGTCATGAAAGGTTTACAGCCACCAGATGGTGTCACAAGTTAGCCTGCAATTTCTTGTTTGTGTATTCTTACCTCCTTGCTGAAGTGCTGCTTTGGATTCCTTTCACATGTGTGGATTGTCTGTGCTCACCTATGGGTGTCATCTGCTATCCTCTGGGTTTTATTTCCTTCCCTTCCATCACTTCCGGGCCCACCTCCTAGTTTGCTTGTCTATGTAAGATATGCTCAGTCTAGCCCACTTGGCATGTGCAACTTGTTAGTTCTCTGAGCTCCTGTCTGTTGCTACACTTGTATCCTGTATCTGACTACCTGTGCACTGACCCTGACTTTCATCCACTGACTGTGCTGATCTTCCACTCGGCTTGTCTATTGGCTTCCCTGTTGTCTCCTGTATTACCCCCTGCTCACGCGATTGGTCTCCGCATCTTCAGCTGGGTGTACCTGGGGGCCACAACCTGGTTCCAGATTGCTGCAAGTCCATCCCCACCATCAGGGGCTCCGGAGAAGAAGCAGGCTGGAGCTTAGACTCTGTGCCCTGGGGAACCCAGAGTTGGCGGTCTACAAGGGCTCACTACCACAGGTTTGTGACAGATGGTACATGTATCTGTAAGACCTAGTGCAATCAGCATCTGTACTGTGGAATGAAAGTGGTTCTAAAGTCTTACATTTTTTTTTTTTACCTGAATGCATTCTCTGCATCAAGGTTAAAACAGCCACTATCTTTCCTAGCTCTCCTGTCCCTATACACTTACCTGGCTTTGGTTACTGTTCCAGTGCTGTCTCGGCTACAGCACTGCTCCTCATTTTCTAGACTCACAGGGGCACTGAGGGCAGCGGAAACCATAGGCAACTGCTACTGTTAGGTAAACTTTTGTGAGAAGGGAGAGGTGATGTGGCTCACCAGCACGGTGTGTGTCCATGGGCACATGCAGTCCAGCTCGGAAATGCGCATGCACGGCTGCCTCCTTAGCACATGGCTTGCTAAGGAGACACCCATAGCAGTGGATAAGGTGACAGCAACAGCAGGTGGACTGCTAGAAGAACAGAATATGGTGCCTTCTGTGCAATATTGTTGCACAGAGCAGATATTATAAGTATGACCTTTTTTTATTCTTTTTTTTTTTTTTTAAATTAGAATGTATTATCACTTTAAAAATTAGGAGAAAGGCTATGCATATATCCCCAGAAGTTATTATGAAAGTGCATACATACACACAACACCTTCCTTTTGGTGATAACTGATGGAGGTCTCCTCACTCAGAGCCCTCATGGGCTAAATGTTTCCAGAAAAGCACCGGTAAAAACCTACCTGAGATAAAAGCTGCTCAGTTCTTTCCAGAGCAGCCTTGGGACCAAACTTGCCTCTCCATGGATTTCTGCAGCCTAGTTGTGCTTGAGTAGGTATCTCAGTCTGTATTGGAAAGCGCTAGCTTTCCAAAGGTGATACAGAACAAGCTCTCTGACCAGTCGGCACCTGAGAGTAGATTGGCAGTGAAGGTTCAACTGTTGACATGGTTTCTTAGCAGAAAGAGCCCAACAAATCACCATGTTGGGAGGATTCCACCTTAATCCACCTTAATCCTAAAACCTCTATAATAAATTACTCTGTTGAAGGCTCCAAAACAAATCTGTTCCAAAAAAAAGTTTTACAGGGTATTTAAATATGTGACAGCTACACCAATTACAGTATATGCTATAAGCATATTTACAGGATAAGTCACAAATATTTTATTCATGTAATTATCTGCTTATACAATGACAGTCTTTTTGATTTATCTGTCTATTGCATAAAACCAACACAGCAAAGCAGGCACTTGACAACCCCAGAGATCAAACATGTCGTAGCCCCCACTACATCACACAACTGGCTGACAATATGAAGCCTGCCTGCAGCCAGGTAAAATGGCTTAATTCAAAGAGTAGAATTCCCTGGGGCTGCTATGGGGATTAATACGTTAATACATACGTCATCTTCTGTCAGACATGGGTCTTCTTCTCGAGATTTGTAGGATACGCAACTTTGTCTCTAAAAGAAAAGAAAAGAAGGATCAATACATATATGCCTATATTGCAGAGAGAGCACTATTTATTCTGGCTGGAATTCTCTTGGGTTATTATCCCAGGTCTCCGGAACAAAGACCTTACTTTTCCCAGCTAATGGGGAGTGATTATGTAAATGGAGCTGGCAAGGGACATGGGAACCTTTTATACATACAAAGTATCAAAGATCTTACAGAGAAGCATGCACTAATGAGTATTTGTAATAATCTGAATTCCATCCTTGAACTGTTATGAGAGTGTAACTTTACCTTTCAGAGATTATTTCATTTTTATTAAATCTGATGTCACAAGGGCAATCCTGTCGCTGGTGACAAGTTATCAGTGGCAGGATTGATAACTTGCCACTTACCTGTTTATATGGGGGTGTTCTACCCAGCAGAGCAAGATATCACACCCTTGATTGAGCAGTGTTCTGGGTTAGCAAGGGAGCGATTTCATAGAGGCACATGAAAGCCTTTTCTATCAACTGCAGAATCAACCATGTGACAGCAGCCTTAGTTGTATTTGGTCTCTTAGAACAGAAGTGTCAGGTTCTGAAGGCCGCTACATAAACCTTGATTTTCTCTCGTTCAGAAAGTCAATCAATGCTATTATAATAAAGGCAGCCATGAGATCTGCTGCAGCCTGAATACCTGAAAACTGTATTAAATCCAAAACAAAAATGTAATATATTGCAACTTAATTATTAGATGTGGCGGCTGCATTCGGGTTTTTTTGGGGGCTTTTTCCCCCTCTGTTTTCACCTGGTGATCTGGCCAGAAACACACCTACTGTATTAGAATGCCCCCACTCTGGATGAAGGAGCACAGGGGCACCTTTGGACAGCAGCATTGGTAATCTGGTGGGAAGGGAGTGTTAGATGTACTAGCAGATTTAGATACACCAACAAATTGAAGCTGGCTAACACTGCAGTTATACAAGCAGTTACAGCAAACAGTTTGTTTCTTTTTCGGGGTAAAGGTTTTACATGAATAAATAAATGCTGATCATTGTAAGCACCCCTGAGAGTGATAGTTTGTCTCAACACTCTAACTGCTACATTTGTAGGAGAGTATGTTCTGTTGAAAAGCAATAGACTTACTTGGCTGGATCAACAGGGGAAAATAAAAGAAAGCCAAAAATAAGAAAACTCATGCAGCCACCATATCTAAGAATTGGCAAGCTGCAATATAATAAATGTTTGCATTTGCCTTTAATATTGCTTGGCCTGTGACTACATCAAAAAGGATGCAGTAACTGTTTGGCCAATTATTTTCCATCCGGTTCAATCAAATAAATTGGTGGTGCTTCCATGGCCACCCACGGTCTGAATTTCAGCCAATTCACAGTCGTGTATAGTGAACTTTTTGCTGTTCCTTCTCTTGCCTGTGCTTAGTTCTGATAACGGACATTCCAAAAAAATATATTAAATAAAGATGCTGAACTGCAGGGAAAAATAAACAAAAAAAAACCCAAAAAATGAAAAGGTTGGTTGGTTTGAATCTTCTTTAGCAGCCTGGTAGAAGCTGGATCAGCCTTCATGTAAACCTTACAGCTCAAAATTTCTGTTCTGACAGGGAGAGAATCAAAACAAATAACAGCCGAGCCTGGAATGTATGTATGGCTGTGCTATTCTTTCAGTTTGAGATTGGAGATTCAGATTCTTACTATTGGACATTCATGACACATTATCAGATAAATTACATTTTATGCAAAGGCCTTGATCACACGTGTGTTAAAAAATGCTACTCCTTGTGTGTTCCCCAAATCTGCTTTGTACTCCATGTATTCAGGAATGAATTTATATTGACCTGAATCTGTATACACTCACCAGCCACTTTATTAGGTACACCTTGCTAGGTACATTCCCCCCACCATCCTGATCCACTGACACAAGGCAGGATGGATCCATGCTTTCATATTGTTTACACCAAATTCTGACCCTATCATATGAATGTCGCAGCACCCAGTCTGCCCATTCTCCTCTGACATCAACAAGGCATTTTCGTCCACACAACTGCTGCTCACTGGCTATTTTCTCTTTTTCAGACCATTCCCTGTAAACCCTAGAGATGGTTGTGCATGAAGATCCCAGTAGATCAGCAGTTTTTGTAATACTCAGACCAGCCCGTCTGGCACCAACAACCATGCCATATTCAAAGTCACTTAAATCCCCTTTTCTTTCCCAGTTTGATGCTCGGTTTGAACTTAAAGGTTGTCTTCAGCATGTCTACATGGGTAAATGCATTGAGTTGCTGCCATGTGATTGGCTGATTAGCAATTTGCGTTGCCAAGCAATTAAACAAGTGTACTTAATAATGTGGCTAGTGAGTGTACCCTGGCACTCCGTCAAATTCTTTGCAATACATGCTGCAAGTCCATTGATTTTTATTGTTCTTACTGGCAGCCCCCTCTGCATCACCATAACAGCGAATGTGCTATTTACATTTTTTTTTCCTTTGGCACAGGTTCATTAAAAAAATAGATTGCCAATATGATCACATTAGCATTTAGAGCTCATTCAGATGGGCACTGGAACATGCCATCCTTTCTCTGAGTGTGCATCCACCTTGGAGTTGCTTGCAGGCATAGCAGTGAATGCAGATGCAACAGCTTCATAGTTGCATGTCAAAATCTGACATGTGGGCAGATGCAGGTACACAGATCTGAAGGTAGATACTGTGCATTCGGATCCCTGCACCTGCTTCTGCCTGCACATCAAATTTTGACAAGAAACGGTGTCAATGCAGCAGCTACAGTCAGGTCCATAAATATTGGGACATCGAAACAATTCTAACATTTTTGGCTCTATACACCACCACAATAGATTTGAAATGAAACAAACAAGATGTGCTTTAACTGCAGACTGTCAGCTTTAATTTGAGAGTATTTACATCCAAATCAGGTGAACGGTGTAGGAATTACAACAGTTTGCAGATGTGCCTCCCACTTGTTAAGGGACCAAAAGTAATGGGACAAAATAATAATCATAAATCAAACTTTCACTTTTTAATACTTGGTTGGAAATCCTTTGCAGTCAATGACAGCCTGAAGTTTGGAACACATAGACATCACCAAACGCTGGGTTTCATCCCTGGTGATGCTCTGCCAGGCCTCTACTGCAACTGTCTTCAGTTCCTGCTTGTCCTTGGGGCATTTTCCCTTCAGTTTTGTCTTCGGCAAGTGAAATGCATGCTCAATCGGATTCAGGTCAGGTGATTGACTTGGCCATTGCAGAACATTCCACTTCTTTCCCTTAAAAAACTCTTTGGTTGCTTTTGCAGTCTGCTTTGGGTCATTGTCCATCTGCACTGTGAAGCGGCGTCCAATGAGTTCTGAAGCATTTGGCTGAATATGAACAGATAATATTGCCCGAAACACTTCAGAATTCATCCTGCTGCTTTTGTCAGCAGTCGCATCATCAATAAATACAAGAGAAGCAGTTCCATTGGCAGCCATACATGCCCACGCCATGACACTACCACCACCATGCTTCACTGATGAGGTGGTATGCTTAGGATCATGAGCAGTTCCTTTCCTTCTCCATACTCTTCTCTTCCCATCACTCTGGTACAAGTTGATCTTGGTCTCATCTGTCCATAGGATGTTGTTCCAGAACTGTGAAGGCTTTTTTAGATGTCGTTTGGCAAACTCTAATCTGGCCTTCCTGTTTTTGAGGCTCACCAATGGTTTCCATCTTGTGGTGAACCCTCTGTATTCACTCTGGTGAAGTCTTCTCTTGATTGTTGACTTTGACACACATACACCTACCTCCTGGAGAGTGTTCTTGATCTGGCCAACTGTTGTGAAGTGTGTTTTCTTCACCAGGGAAAGAATTCTTCGGTCATCCAACACAGTTGTTTTCCGTGGTCTTCCGGGTCTTTTGGTGTTGCTGAGCTCACCGGTGCGTTCCTTCTTTTTAAGAATGTTCCAAACAGTTGTTTTGGCCACGCCTACTTTTTTTGCTATCTCTCTGATGGGTTTGTTTTGTTTTTTCAGCCTAATGATGGCTTGCTTCACTGATAGCGACAGCTCTTTGGATCTCATCTTGAGAGTTGACAGCAACAGATTCCAAATGCAAATAGCACACTTGAAATGAACTCTGGACCTTTAATCTGCTCATTGTAATTGGGATAATGAGGGAATAACACACACCTGGCCATCGAACAGCTGAGAAGCCAATTGTCCCATTACTTTTGGTCCCTTAACACGTGGGAGGCACATATGCAAACTGTTGTAATTCCTACACCGTTCACCTGATTTGGATGTAAATACCCTCAAATTAAAGCTGACAGTCTGCAGTTAAAGCACATCTTGTTTGTTTCATTTCAAATCCATTGTGGTGGTGTATAGAGCCAAAAATGTTAGAATTGTGTCCATGTCCCAATATTTATGGACCTGACTGTATGTCTGCATCCATGTCTACAGCCTGCCTGTGCAGAGCTCTGAGGTGGATGCACATGCAACAAAAAGCAGCTCAGCATGGAGGACAGGACAGGTCTCAGCACCCATCTCAATGAGCATGGTAGATATGTCATTTCCTAACTAGTGTAAACCTATCAATAGACATTTTTGAACAGAACACACTGTAGAAGATTTGGATAGGTTGATTTTCTTGGAGAAGTTGCTGATTTCACCAGACAGCCATAAAGGGTTGGTTTATACCAAGAATCGCACAGGATTGTGCTGCACATTCCTGTGCGATTCATATGCAGTGCCGCATGGTGAGATTTGTACCCCTTCATTTTGAATGGGCTGAATCACACCAGACTGCAGCAAAAGTAGTAAAAAAAAAAGTGTGAATACCAAGCGAATTGAGGTTCCAGGAGATATGTGGATAACTAGAGTATGGGCAGCTCCAACAACTCATCCAACCAGCAATGAGACATGAGCACAAAACAATAAAGGGGTGCTCCCAACTCTGTGAAAGTCAATAGAATCACAAGCCCAGGAACAGATAAAATCGAAATTCACTTTACAGCGATACTAAAGGCTTAAATTTAAAAAAACAAAAATGTTATACTTACCTGTTCTGGGTAATGGTTTTGTACAGAATAACCCGGATCCTCCTCTTCTCGGGTCCCTAGTCGGCTCTCTTATCCCCTCCCTCCTGTCGGGTGCCCCCACAGCAAGCAGCTTGCTATGGGGGCACTTCCTGATCCATGTGTTCATTCACACATGGAGCTGTGGCTCAGCTTTCTGCCCCCTTTCTCTTCTCATGGGCTCACTGGCAGTGATTGACAGCAGCAGGAGCCAATGGCTCCCGCTGCTGTCTCAGCCAATGAGGAGAGGAAGTCCTGGGATAACAGACTCCAGAGCACACCGCTGAATCCAGAGGGGCTTAGGTGAGTATTAGGGGTGGCCCAGGGGGCTGGTGCACAGAGAAGGTTTTTAACCTTCTTGCATGGAATGAAGGTAAAAAACCTTAAGTCTGTACAACCGCTTTAATGTTGGGTTAAAAAGCATGACATGTAGGAGTGCCCAGACTGGATACATCACCAAGCCAGTGGAGAGAAGAAACATATATTCCGAGAAGCTGGAGGATAACACATGATCCTGGACCCAACAGTAGGTTGTTCAGCACAGCAGCCTCAGGACAACGGGAGGAGTGTGTGGATGGCAGCCGCAAAGATCACTATGATGACACATTTGCCAGAAGTCACGTGTCCCACACATCCGGTTGTAATGTCATACACCTGGCTAGAGACTGCCCAAACAAGGGCTGGTGAGGGCAAACTGGAAGCCTAAGGGAGCACTCAAACTATGTCAAACCAAAGGAGAGAAGCCGGTCATCATGATAACATGTTTCAGGGACTTGCCACTTCCTCAGATCAACTGAGGCTCCTGTGCTGAGCAACCTACTGTTGGGTCCAGGATCATGTGTCATCCTCCAGCTTCAGGGAATATGTGTTTCTTCTCTCCACTGGCTTGGTGATGTATCAATATAGGCACTCCTACACATCATGCTTTTTAACCCAATATTACAGTGAATTTAGATTTTATCTGTTCCTGGGCTTGTGATTCTATTGACTTTGACAGGGTTGGGAGCGCTCCTTTATTTGTGGTTTTGTGCAGCAAAAGTAGTGCATACACTACTTCAAAAAATGCACTGTAACCGGATCACATGGTACTTCTGTTCCATGCGATCTATTGCAGGAAAACCGCACTGCTTTTGCAAGCCACGTTTGGGGTGCCATTAAAGTGTTACTAAACCCACAACAGTAGAATCAGTCTGTATATGCAGTAAATAATGCTTATTATACTCACTGTGGAACCTAAGGGATTAACCCTCCGCATTGTATTAAAAGAATGTTTTATCCTGTCTTCTCTGATCCTCCCCTTCTTCCAGTGTCCCCCTCTTATCTCCTGAGAGAACAGAGGCTCGGGGGCAAACGGCACATGCTCAGTTTGGTGTGTATTGCTAGAGTTTTTTTGGGGGGAGAGTGCATGTGATCAGCACATGAGAATGAAAACTCCTCCAAGATTTAACCAGTGCTCTGCTGGACACTGATAGAAGTCACAAGACTGCTCTAACTGCTAATGAGAAAAGGTATTTAGCAGTTTATATTTACTAAAATAGTTGCATATCCATGTTCTGTGTACTGTGGGAGACCGGATATAGTGAATGCAGGGTCCTGGGTTTAGTAACACTTTAACTTAACATTGACACCCGCTGCAGATCGCAACTACAGTGCATTTTGAACGTGGTGCAGGAAACATGCATGGAATGTGAGTTTCCTGCACCGCGTTCTGCGATAAACGGCCACTATAGGAACATCTACAGACCAGTAAATGGAAATGATCACAAAAATTGGTAGCAGCACAAAAAAAAAAAAATCAAAAACAACTTTCCAAGAAACCATGTAACTCAGAATCAGTACTACCTGAAAGACATAACTAAGTTTGCAAAAGTCACGTCAGGTAAAAGGTTAGTTTTCACACAAAGTACCAAAGTCCGAGTTTATTTATGTATTCTTATGTAGCTATAGTGAGCTTGCATTATATTGAAAATGTCAGCTGTTTAAAGCTGAACTTCAGGTAAATGGGTAAATACACAAATATTATACATATTTGGGAGCAGTTTTACCTACCAAAGGATGTGTAATTTTGCACAGCATTTCCTGAGATTTACATAGCTCTACCAGAATGCAAAGCCAGGCTAGCGACCTGACTTTTCTCTAATGCAGTTAATCAGTACAGCTTGCTCACCACCCCGCCCTCAGCTAGTAGTGTGTGGACAGTGAAAGAGTAGTAGAAATAATGAATTATCCCTTTGCTCTCTCCACCTATCAGAATGTTCTTGTCATGTGCATGTGGTACACCTGGTTGGCTCCTAGTGCTGCTCTTCCTTCTCCCAGCCTGGGTGCTGTTGTACAGGGGATAATGAGAGGCTGATATCAAAACAGACTCGGATATTGGAACTAGCTTCATTTAAAAAGACATTTCATTATATTTTGCTCAGTATATAACTGCATTTTATAGTGTATTTTTGCATATTTCCAAGGTTAAAATGTACCTATGCCCTGGTGTAGCTGTAACTGTTACAGTAATAACTACTGTTGTTGGAAAAACTAATCTAGTAAACCAGATGTGATCATTTACACATGATCAGTAGCCTGTACGTCTGGAGTACCTATGCAGAGTTTCTAGCAAATTCAAAGGTTATGCTCTGTGCCAGTGGCTGCACACACGAGAGTACTCATTAAAAGTTATTAGTGCCCAAATAACTATTACACAGATGTGTTGGTACAGAAAGAACTGAACATTAGATCTTTAAACAAACTCAACTTCTAATAGTGTGGCTGTTGAGTATATTTAGCCATTAGCCTAGGTATTACTGGAAGGCAGTGCAAGGGACGTATTTTTCTATACTAGAGTCATGCTAAAGTTACAGGTCTGACCTCTGACTGGACAGTGAAAAAGAAGCAGCACACGTATTTTACTTTATCTCTCAGTCACTTTGCTCTCTCCCTGCTTTGCTGTGCAGTGCAAGAGGCTGATACGAAGTCAAATTCAGGTGCCTTCACTGCTTGCATTTTAAAACTTACCTTGTCATCCTTGCTGGCCCCCTCCAGGTCCCCTCCTTGGTCCAATTTCTCCTCCTCTGGCTCTTTTCCTTGTACATTTTCATTCTCATCCAGAAGTTTCTTAGGCAGTGGTGGGGGAATATCATCATCTTGAGATGTTGGTGTGCTAGCTGCACTCTGTGTATTGATGCTTTGCCTGCTCTTTCGGTTATGGTCCACCGAGGCGTATTCCACTGCAGGCTCCATTTTGCTCTCCGTGATAACTGGGCCGGCCAGTGCTGTGCTCATGGTGAGATTTCTGTCTTCCAAACTGGCTGATGAACTAATGTCCTTTAATTCTTTCACAGTCTCATACAGGCAGTCTTCTATAATATTGTCATGAGAAGAGCTGTCTTTTAGCACCTCATACGGCCCCTCGGTATACAGAGGGGCATCATTTTCTAGGCTTTCTGATGATATGACAGATTCCCGGTTGTCAGGAGGGATCTGTGGCAGTTCTCTGGTTTGAGGGCATCTTAGAGATTTCCCTGTGAAGTCCTGAGGGTCACAAAGGTCAGGGAGAGAGCTCTGTACATCTTCATAGGTTGGGACACAGGTCGCTGCACTGTCCTCAGAGACTGAAAACAAACATAAGATGGTACGTTAAACCTATATAAGAATAATACAGAAGTATAAAAACAGACACTGTACATTGATTAGATAATCAGAATACTGACTGTTTTTTCCCTTAAGTGTTATAATGAGTAAAACAAGGTCTGATGCCTTGCCTGGTGTTAACCCAAGGGGAGTACCTTCTGACACCCATCAGATGTCAGCCAGGACTCTGCTGAGAGTTAGGTTTCCTGGTCCATCTCTCTAGAATACATTCTATATAAATTTGTATGTACATCCACAGGTGGGCCAACGAGGGCCATATATCTCAGCCAGGGACACAAAACAATGAAGAATTGGCAGGCAGTTAAATCCCTATAATTCCAGCCAGAAAAAAAGAAAACATGTATGCTTATACAGACACTGTTTGAAACTTTAGCATTTCTAAGATGCAAACAATGAGTATGAACTAAACCTAGTCATAGGCCTAAAGGGAAAATATAGCACATTTCTAACCATCAAGTGGAGTTAGTACTGCAAGGTTTAGCTTAACACACAGGGGTTTATTTACGAAAGCTGGAGAGTACAACATTTGGCTCACTTCTCTATAGAAACCAATCAGCTGCTAAACTCAGTTTGTCCAATTACGTTTTACCAATAAAACTTGGAAGCCGATTGTTTTCTATGCAGAAGTGAGCCTGATATTGCAATCTCCAGCTTTAGTAAATAAACCCCATAGTGTTGATGTGACATATATATCTATAATGCCTTCTTGTCCATATTTGTGTTATTTATGTATTAAATTTGGAGATTAACCATTAGGGGGAGCCCTTTATTTACCAGATTCATTCATCCTCCCTGCTTGTTCTGAATTGGGTGCACCTGTGCATGGTAGGCAATCAGCTTCTAACTTCAGCTTATTCAATTAATCTTTAGCAATAAAACCCGTAAGCTGGTTGGTTTCTATGCAAAAGAGCATGAGATTCTGAGTGAACCAGCTTTAGTAAATAAACCTCAATATCTACACTGTTTTCAGCGAGTTGACTAATATAGAAGAGTATGAAAACATGTTATGCACAAATATTGCTGCACATATATCATTACAAACTATACATGGAAACCGTTGCCTTTAACCTTACCTTTCATAACCTTGTTTAAATCAAGCAGAGACTTCAGAAAAAATACTGAAAAGACTACACATTCCATTTAAGACACTAGTCAAATGTTAAAAAATGGAGGACCACACAATCTTTTGACTCCCTCCTAGATATGAGGTCATCTATCAACACTCTAATCATCTTTAACTGAACACTGATTGATCACGTTACACGTCGGTCACATTTGCACCGTATTGGACTGCAATCTGCTCCATATATAACATTTTAGCACTTTACTGCATCTTTAAATCCTGTAAGAAATGACTGTCCCACTCTCCGTGGAGAAGTAGCTTTTCTCTGCTATACTCTGATGTGTCACTATTTGTGTTAAAATTTCATTTATACCACTGGGCGTTCGTTATCCACCTATCAACACAGCTGAGTATGTTACCTTGATCTGGGATACACTATGGGTGATCTACAAAGTAGACCAGTGTGATAAATGAATCAGTCTGGGCAGCGTCAGTTTATTATCAAGTTTTGAGGAGAAAAAAAAAAAAAAGAGTAGTAGTGCTAATCAGCTGTGGCGAAGGCAATATTCTCAAGGTGGGCAATAAATTCAGTAAACTCTCTTCCTGGATTGGGAGTATAATGTGTGTTAAGTGATTAGGCACACAATGAATGGTTTACAAGCGGATAGTTGATGGTCATTAATTTCTGAATTAAAATGGAGGTAATGCTGATGGAACATTTTTCTCATTTATATTACTGGCACATTCTAATTTATATTGATTTATATTACAACACAAAAGGACAAAATTATGTTCAGTCATAAGGTCTATAAATGTCAGGTTTTTATGTCATTAAAAAAAAAAAAATTATAAAGCAGCGTAAAGCAATGCACAAAGTTATGTAAAATAAATTTCCTTCATGGTGCACTGGTAGCATCAAAAAGTTTGATTTAATGGGCAAAACCACTTCTTCTAGTTTAGTGTAAGCTGTATTGCTCTTAAGTGCAGTGCAAAAAACAGAGGTCCCAAAACGGGTTATGCTGCCTGGCAGGGGTGCCTGGATCACAAGGAGATCTAGAATGAATTACAAATCCTTTCAAAGATAAGAGTATATCACATACACATTTTCTCTATTATTTTCCTGGTGATCCTGTTTTTCAACAGAACAAGCTATTCTGCAGATGTAGCAGTTACAAGGTTGAGATAAACCATTTAAACACTGACAATGATCAACATTAATCCGTGTACAACCTTTCTTGAAAAAGGAAAAAAAAAAAAAAAAAAACGGTTGCTGTAACTGCTTAGAGCGAAAATACACGGTATCTGAGCGCCACAAACCAAAAACGTGATTTAACTTATATTTAATATTCAAAGCAAACTCCCACATCCAACCATGTCTCCATGCTTTATTTTGCTGAGAAATCACTTAAACACCCCCTTAGCATTTCTGTCTGTGGCCATCTTGAGTAAGGGCAGATGATGCATGTAGTACTTCCTGGAATTCATCTGCCCTTAGCTCATACATGCAGAGGGAGGGTGTGCTTAGCTGAGAAAACCCCCTCCTTGTCTCTTGAAGACTCCTGGGACATTATTTGCCTAGACATGGAAACTAGGAAGTAAGGAAATGTAAAAAAAACAAAAAACTGTTTAAAACAAGAAAACATGATATACTTTCCTATCTATTTACTAATGCTAGCAGTGTAAGGATTCAAAATAGTCCATATCGACTAAGAAGGTGAAGTTTCACTTTAAAATGTGTTAGCTAAAGTTTGGCTTCAATTTGTTCGTATATCTAAATCTGCTAGCACCTCTAACACGCCTCTTCTCCCAGACTGACAATGTTGCCGTCCAACGGTGCCCCCTGTGCTCCTTCATCCAGAGTGGGGGCACTCGAATACAGGAGGTGTGTTACTGGCCAGATCAACAATTGAAAACAGAGGGAAAAATCCTAGGAAAAGAAAAGTGATGCAGCAACCATATCTAAGGATTGGTAAGCTGCAAAATATTTCTATTTTTGGTTTTGGGTTTAAAGCGGCAGTAAAGTCTGCTATTATTTCTTCTTTTTAGGGGCTCCCAGGTGGGTTATGCCATAATGTACTAGTATGCACAGCATATAAGCATATTATGGCATATTTCCCTTTCAAAATGAGCCCTCCAGCGCTGCGATTGATCCTATGTGTCCTAGGCATTTCCATCTTTGCCTGGTCTTCTTTTCAGGTTCTGTGCCTTCAACCACTTGAATGGCTGGGCCGCGATGCAGTCACTCCTGCGCATGGAGTCACATCGCAGATCAGGGCAGTAAATGTTTGCTGAGCTATGCATGCGTAATGACAGCTGACAGGCAGGAGGAAGCATTTATGACAGAAGAGACCGATAGGGTCTCTTCGGTCGTAAATATTCTCTCGGTCAGCAATTTAAAAAAACAAAGTTTACTACTGCTTTAATAAAGATCTATATTATGCAGGTTGTGTATGTATTCTTCACGATTCCTTAAGCAACATTTCTTTAATCTCAGACAGTATAACTAAACTAAAATAAAGGTTATGTTTTTCTTTATACATACCGTCACCAGTGCTGATGGCCCCATTTCGGTAACTGCTGGCCGGAGCTTCTGTTCCCAGGCTTGTTACAGAATGGCTGTGTGTCTCTTTGTCAGAAGGCTGATGGCAAAATATATACAAGAATTATACTGGAATAACAGGTACAAGTGCAATCTCATTGTATCTAAACAATGTGTGCTAACATTATACAAAATAATGAGGTCTCAGATGACAAGTTCACAGAATAAGCATTTATTTTATTTCCATACATTCATTATTCCATTATTTTCCAGCTAAGCTACTGGTGGGCACATGTCTCTGAGTTGTCGCTAGATTTCTGTTTAGAATTCACTAGAGGGCACATGACCTTCATGGGAATATATGGAGAACACAGGCCTACACTACCAGTAGCTGGTAAAAATAGCCGTGCTTTCAGCTATATCCATGCTGAGAGAGGGTGGAAATCTTTATAAAATATATTTTAGATTGTTGATCCAGGGGGGAATCCAATTGCCTTTGGGGATGAAGAAGGAGTTTTTACATTATTCCAAAAAATTAGAGCATACTTTAGAAAGCATTTTTGCCTCTCTCTTTATGAAATGCAGGTTTAGGTTCTGAAGATGCAAGGTGTGTTTTTTAGGATTGAAGGTGTTTTAATTAATTTTAGCTTTTTGGTTAAACTTGATTGACCTGTCTTTTTCAACCTATGTAATCTTCTGCGGGTTGTTCCGGATCGTCCCTTGTCCACTCTACCCAAAACTGAATAATACTTCTTCGCTGGAGTTGTTCTTTAAACATGTGTATAGAACGTCTCAGATGTTCAATACTTTAATGTTAGATATTTGACTTTTCTGTATCTATTAGGAGCTGTTCACATCTGGAATTGCGGGCAGAATTGGCGTGATTCTGCCAGTATTTCCAAATTAGTCTGAAATCACAGGAAAATGAGCAACACACATCTGGCTGTGATTCATTTATAAAAGGCACCCCAAACAGTGTGCAATTTTCCCACAATTGTCAAGCGGCAAAACGCGTGTAAAAAAAAAACAAAAAACAAAAAAAACAGCCCAGCTCAGTGCTACAATATGGTACATGGGCTGCCCTATGTGTGAGACACGGAAACATGTGTAAATCATGAAAGAAAAAGTGAATGGGGCCTTAGACTGAACAAAGTATAAAATGGTAGAATGTTCAAGGAATAATTGAACACCGTAGAGCCACAGTGAACTTTAGCCCTCCCCCATTCACACTTCAACATTTCTACCTACTCCTGAACAAGTAGAATCCCACCTCAATTGTCCCTGTTAATGTTTGTATGCTTATTGCTCTACTCAAGGGGTCTCCAAACTTTCAAAACAAAGGGCCAGTTTACTACCCTTCAAACTTTAGGGGGGGCCAGATTGTGGCCAATGAGAGTAGAAAAATTGCATTGTTGGTGTCAGTGGAAGGAATAGTGCCCCATCATTGGTGTCAGTGGGAGGAATACTGCCCTATCATTGGTATTAGTAGGAAGAACAGTGTCCTATCTCTGGTGTCAGTGGGAGGAATAGTGCCCCATAATTAGTATTAGGTGAAGGAGTAGTGCTCCATCATTCGTGTCAGTGGGAGGAACAGTGCTGCATCACTGGTGTCAGGGGGAGGAATAGTGCCCCATCATTGGTATTAGTAGGAGGAATAGTGCTCCATCATTGGTGTAAATTGGAGAAATAGTCCCATCATTGGTATTAGTAGGAGGAATAGTGCTCCATCATTGGTGTCAATGGGAGGAATAGTGCCCCATCGTTGGTGTCAGTGGGAGGTATAGTGTCCTTTCTCTGGTGTCAATGGGAGGAACAGTGCCCCATCAATGGTGTCAGTACAAGTAATAGTGCTCCATTAATGGTGTCAGTACAAGGAATAGTGCTCCATCAATGGTGTCAGTACAAGGAATAGTGTCCCAAGAGCTGGATAAAGGCAAGCAAAGGGCCACATCCAACCACAATCCACAGTTTGGAGACACCTGCTCTATGGCCTTTGCTCAAAAAGTATACAAAATTTTTTTCTTGAGTGTCTTTGGCACCTGTAAAAGCATGATACATGCATTTTTGTGCCTGCCATAATTCCAAAATCTGTTACTGCCCTCTTGTGTGCTCCCTCTCAGAGCCTTGTGTTTTAGACTTCATATTCAACTGGGAGATTAGGAACATTTTATGTTATAATGAACAGACATCTCAACAGAATCCCCAAAAGAAAGTTTCTGGTGTTCTAGCTTTCCAGCATCTACAGAACAGAATTATTATTTTTGGGTGGATTGACCCTTTCAGTACAATTAAAAGAAAACTATATTATGATAAGCAAAAGGAGGAGAAAAAGATTAAACTTACTGCATTCATGAGGTTTTCATGGTCTCCATTCTGATGCTTTGCCTTTTTACCTCTGTAGAATCAAAAGCAAAAAAATTATTCACATAAATGTGGGCAGCATATCAGCTTAGTACCTAAACACTTTTGCAGGACTTGCAGGACTGGGGTTCCCATTTGTATCTCAGTCGGGACACTATCTGCATGGAGTTGGCATGTTCTCCCTGTGCCCACATTGGCTCTCCTTCACGTACTCTAGTTTCCTTGCACACGCCAAAGACATGCTGGCAGGTTAACGGGCTCCCGTCCAAATAGTATTTGTGTTTGTACAATATTAGGAAAGTTGTATTTTTGAGGATTCATTTCATTATTGAACAGCTACAGTGTTCCCGGTCAATCCAAAATGTTAATAAACCTCAAACCTGAATATTTAAGAAAGTAAAAGTGAGGTTTAGGCTTTCTTAGGAGAATACCTATGTGTGCACAATTATTGGTCAACTATTAGTGTGCAGAATTATTAGACAACTAAATGAAAAACAGAACATTTTCCCATCTCACTTGTTTATTGTCATCTGTAAGGCCCCTTTCACACGAGCCACCTAATGAGGTCCGCCTGTCTGTTTTTCAGGCAGACCTGATCAGTCCATCTATAGACTTCTATGGACCGGTGGGTGTCCGTCGGCATCTGATTCAATCCTGTACGCCAAAAACAGATGGATGGGGATCCATTCCCCATCCATCGGATGATAATCGGGTGGAAACGGACAGGCGGTCCGTTTCCATCCGACCGTCCCATTGAAATCAGTGGGCAGTGTCTGTGTCCACTCTGCAGCAGTAGAGCGGAAGGAGACCTGTCATCCACCTCCTCAGCAGGGATCAGCGGAGAGATCCCCCGCTGAGCAGGTGGATCACGCTGACGGATCAGCCCCATCTGCAAGGGGCCTAAATGTCAGAATAATAAACAAAACTCCAAATTTACAAATAAAATTTCTGACATAAAAAAAAAAAAAAAAAGACCAATACAACCACCCTTCTTTTCAATAACAGTCATAAGCCTTCCATTCATAGAGTTTGTCAGTTTCTTTATCAACTTTTTGTGCTGCAGCAAACACAGCCTCCCAGACACTGTTCATAGAGCTGTACTGTTTTCCTTCACCGTAATTCTCCTGTTTAAGAAGGGCCCACAAGTTCTTATTAGGGTTGAGGTCAGGTGAAGAAGGGGGCCATGTAATTATTCTTTCATCTCGGTGGCCTTTACTGGCTAGCCACTGCATTCGATGGAGCATCGTCCTGTATAAATTTCATGGTGTTGTTGAAAGGTGCAGACTTTTTAGAAGAAAAAGCAGTGGTATGGGAAAAACTGGCAGTAGGTTTGGGAGTTGATTTTGAATCGATCTTCAACTCAAAAAGGTCCAACTAGCTCATCTTTAATAATACCAGCCATACCAGTACCCCACCTCCACCTTGCTGGTGTTGAAGTGGAGCTCTGTGCCCGTTATTGATCCAGCCACAGGGCCATCCATCTGGTCCATCAAGAGTTACTCTCATCTCATCATTCCAGAAAACCTTTGAAACATCAAGACTGGTCCAAGAAATATCTGAAGACAAATTTTTCAATTTGTTTGTCTTGTTCAGTGGTGGTTGGTTTTCATCCCTCTTTACCTTGGCCATGTCTCCGAGTACTGAAAACCTTGTACTTCTGGGCACTCCAGATAAGTTGCAGTTCTGGAACATGACAGCACTGAAAGATAATGGGTTCATGGTAGCTTCACATTTGATTCTTCTCACATCTGTGGCAGTTAACTTGCACCTCTTTTTCTCAACACGTTTCTTGCGACCCTGTTGACTATTTGCAACAAAACGTCTGATGGTTATGCGATCACACCCCAATATCTTAGCAATTTCAAGAGTGCTGCATCCCTCTGAAAGAGTTTTAAAAATTTTTGACTTTTCTCTTTTTTTGGCCCATTTTGCCTGAGGAAAAGAAGGTGCCTAATAAGTATGCACACCTTGATAAAGGGTGATGATCTCCTTAGGCCACACGCTCCCTCATTACACAAATATACATCACCTCATATGCTAAAACCAATAAGCATTCAAGTTTATACAGTTTGGAGTTGGACAATATGCATAAAAATTATGATTTGGTCAAAATGCTCACTTGCCTAATAATTGTACACACAGTGTATGTATGTATGTGATATAGGGACCTTAGATTGTAAACTCTTGGGGGCAGGGACTGATGTTAATGTACAATATATAAGGAGCTGTGTAAATTGTTGGTGCTATATAAATGCCTGTAAAAAAAAATAAATAAATGCATCTCCTAGAAGAGGATGAATGAAAAAGGTACCATCACTATAAGAGACATAAGGATGGACAAGCTATGAATATCAGATATAAACACTGCACCAACTCCACAATATTACATACAATTCACCAATTTTATAGTTTTCATTTATGTGACACATACAAAAAAAAGGATCCTCAATATAACCTGTAAGAACCTCATTATTTTACATAGAATAAGAGCACATTTAAAATACTATAGCTTCAATATATACAGGAATTCAAAGCAAGTTTGCAATTGTAACATTTTCTTTTGCTTTGCTGACCTCTGAAAGCTACACTTGTGTCATCAATGATCCTGCCAAATATAACGTTCCCGTTATTCCCTGATACAGCTGGAGGCATTCAACAGCAAGGTTCTCTTCATATCAAGTCAGATCATTAATATTAAAGCATCCACAGCATCCCTTTTTATGTGCATGTTTTCTGGGCTATTCATAGTTTGATGGCAAAGATGAGCAGCGAGCACATACATCTAAAAGGGATGTCTTCTCATCTTTACTGTCCAACATGGCCTTTCCTTGCGAAGGAGTTATTTTCGCTAATAGTTGGTTCATCCTGAACTATAGTATGGATGGATATTTGAATGGTAACTCTACATTAGATAACGAAAACCGAGAATAGCTGGCCATACACAGAATATCTGATCATGCTTTGTAAATGTTCAGACTTTTATTTCTCATGCACATCAGATGTACTCACTTTAAACTTGTAAACTAAGGCATAGGCTCACCTATGCAGCAATGACAACAAAACACTATGAATTTCCTTTTACCTTGTGAAAGGAGTTAACTACTGTTTTCAAAGAATGGGGACTAGAAAAAAGGGGCAATAAAAGTACAGAAACAGAAGAGACAATGAAGTGCCTAAAGCACCTTGCACACTAAGCATTTATCCCATGTGTATCCAATCCTGGCGTTTTACTACGCATGGGAGGCACGGGTCCTGCTCCCTGCAGCCTATCAGGTCTAGGCTGGATGAAATACGCTACGGCTGGACGGTGTTGAACTGAATAGTACTGAGTGGCAATCACTCAGGGACATATGGCCAGAATACAGGCATTCTATGTTCAAGGTATAATGCCCAAAATGCAAGTACCACTCTGTACATAGATCAGCCCCATCCAGCCAAAGAGTGTTTTAGCCTGACATAAGACTGACAGACAGCAGGGCTAGATACTGCACCAGTGCATCCCATGCCCACCAAAACACCAGGAGTGGACATACATGGGCTAAATGCAAGTGACCTTAAATTACGATCGTTTTTGCTGATCCACAACACAAATGTACTCAACCTTTCCAGTCTTCTCCATTTATTTCTGTACTTTTCTGGATTCGCACTGCAAATGGCAATGAGACACCAGTGTTGTGTAACAAACTCCTCAGGCTCAGAAAAGAGAATATCTGTATGAAACCAAATCACATAACAAGTGTCAATCATATGACGTGATTAAGTTGAAGTGGAATTTTAGTCAGAAAATTAAATCCTGCTAGATCACTTCAGGGAGGCCCCTTTTGAAGGTGTAGCTATGTAAAACATTAAAAATAAGTGTCTATACGGTTTAAAATCCAGTAAAACACTGTCTCACCCTGCTCTGCACATGCTCCGTTGCGCTCTATTTTTTGCTACTGTGCTGAATCTATAGAGGCCGATCTGCTGACAGCCTAAAAAATTTAATGCTGTTCTGGACTCTGGGCTTCATCAAAATGGCAGCTTCCAGCAAGAAGAAACAGGAGCAATGCTGGAAAATTTACAGCACACACTAATTTTGGTAGCATAATTATTAATTTGAAGTGTCTGTTCCTTGCTATAGAACATTATTATTTTTTTTTTTTTTACCAAGTTGTTATGGGTAAAGTTTCACTTAAAAAAAAAAAAAAAAAAAAAAATCTGATTTTGTGAAATGGGTAATTCAATAAACATTATTAGGTTTGCACTGTATTACCAAACTGTATACTGGTTTTTTTCCTATACTGTCTCACTGTCTAAATGGTGTGACCACTTTCATTGCTACCCACATTTAAAAAAAAAAAAAAAAAAATTAAAATAAATTAGGACTTCGAGTGAATTGTAAGACTAGATAAAAGGTAATAGAGAATGTACTCCAAGAAAAAGATGCCTGATGTGGAAAAGCTCACAAAGCACTAATCAATCTGGATGAGCATGCCTTGACTTGATGTAGGAGTCTAAGGAATTACTACATAGGTGTTGCCTGTCAATAGGCATCCTCACAAGGTGCTTCTTGCACTGAAATTCTGAGGATCAACACTAACTAAATGAACCTTCACATATGGACAAAGAGGAGGCTCGCCCAGGATATTTGGCAGAGTGCATCTACTAGTCTTTTAATGCGCATAGTTACAGGGAAAAATTCCAGATGTCGGAGGACAGCTGCATCCTTCTAAATGGACCTGGGGTCCCTAGCTATGTTTTTGGACCACAAGGCTAAAGTTTGTGAAACAGACACAACTGCAACAGCAGGTTACATAGCTGGACCTTCCTGGGAGAATAAAGCCTTGAGGAGGGCATTTAAACTTTTGTCTACATGGTTTTTGAAAATCGAAACATCCTCAACAGAAACCGTGAAGATTGTTAAGGTGGAACATGGCAGTGTATATAACTTGGATTGCCTATTTCTTTTATGAAACTTTTTCAAAACACTTCTTCAAAAAGGGTAGTGCTGAACAAAATGTTGCAAGTCGCATGGCATGCAAATCGCATGCCAAGTCGCACCCAGTGCGACCGGGGTGTTATCCGATAGATTGTTAAGGAAAATCTCACAAATGGCACTCATACTGGAAAAAAGGAAAATGATCAAGTTTTATGTTTCAATATTTTTTATTGAGTTTTTCAAAGATAAACAGGGAAAAACAGGGAAAAAGAGATAAGGTTCAATCATACAACATTACAGTAGACAAAATATGGTTGATCATTTTGTTGTAGATCCGCCCTCTGGACAGATGAGGTGTTGGTCTTGTTTAGCAATATCATCAGAGGTATTCGTGTACATTTGAAGAACCTTGGTGAGGAGTTTGGGGAGTTGGGGGGGGGGGGGGGTGTTAGTGGAGAGGTGGGGGAGGATAGGATTGGGGAGGGAGGGATATAACTGGGTAATTGAGGAGATACCAGTCTTGGTGCGCAGTGTGAATTCATCTCTTGAGATGTCATCAGGGTTGTACATAACATTTTGGGTGGTTTAGCCATTGGGTCCACTGGATATTGAATTTGTGGTAGGAGGAAGTGTTAATTGTGGATAGTTTTTCCATTTGACATTGAGGGGTTTATTTACTAAAGCTGGAAAGTCCAAAATCAGACTCCGTTCTGCATAGAAACCAATCCGCTTCCAGGTTTCATTGCCAAAGCTTCATTGAACAAGCTGAGGTTAGAAGCTGATTGGTGTCTATGCAGAAGGGAGTCTGGTTTTGGACTCTCCAGCTTTAGTAAATAAACCCCTGAGTGTTAAGGTCTGTAATTAATTAAGTGATTAAGGGGGTATTATTTGTGTTCCATAATCTAGTAATATTAATTTTGGCAGCAAAGAGTATGTGGGTAATAACTGTTCGGGAATGGGTAAGGAGTTTCTCTATTCCGATGTGTAGGAGTGCTAATGAGGGGTTCGGGACTAACGGAATTTTGTTTATTTCAGAGATTAATTGGAATGTAGTATTCCAGAAGGAACAAAGTGATTTGCATGACCACAAAATGTGGATTGTTGAGCCTGGCTCACCACAGAGTCTCCAGCATGTAGGGGACTGTTTCGGGTAGCAGATGGAAAGTTTAACCGGGGTCAGGTACCATTGGTGGAGTATTTTTAAGTATGACTCCCAGTGGGAGCTACATTGGGTAATGATCAAGTTTTAAATGACTATTCAACATCTAATATAAAATAAAACTATGATCCGCCAAAGACATTTATCCGGGCCGCCAGGAGAAAAACAAAACAAAAAACCGGCACCGGCCGACAAATAGCTAAGTTGCTCGCTGGGTCCTCAGCCGTGAGCACCCATCGAGCAGCAGCCTGGAAGCCCCAGATTTCACCTGCTGCATCCAGAGGAACAACAGGAGAAAAGGAGAGCACACCAGGCACCAGGTATAGTGCGTTGTAGTGTCCAGTGTATCAGAGTACAGTGCGTTGTGGTGTACAGTGCGTTCTGGTGTACAGTGCGTTGCGGTGTCTAGTGTGTTTTAAATATTGTATTGTTTTTTCCTCTTTTTTTGCACTACAAATAAGATATGTGCGGTGTGCATAGGAATTTGTTCATATTGTTTTCAAACTATAGTCCAGCCCCCCCTCCCTCCAACAGTGTGAAGGTCTGTGAACTGGCCCTCTGTTTAAAAAGTTTGAGGACCCCTGCTGTAGAATAATAGATTGATGCTATTAAATTACATTCCATGGCAGTGACTGATAATCACATTAGTGATCACTGCTATTTTAACCTACAATATATGCACCACCATTGTGATTTCAGCTCTATTAAGCAGCCAGTGTTTTGGGGCTGTGATCTGATGTCCTTTGTGTGACATCCATGTCTAGTCCTCAGTGCATAATAAAATGATTTGATCTTACCTGTCACAGCTAGAGCAGAGGAAGAAGAGGATGGTAATGAAAAGAAGGTTGGATAGTACAGCCAGGCCACCCCATAAGACTAGGCTGTCTTCACTGCTGACCTCTCCATTCACGACAGCCACAGCTTCCTGTACCAGTGGAGGCATTCTCAGCGACTGGGTACGTGCTCAACAAGTGGCCTCATTTGTATATGGGGATTTCACGCCCTGGAAGAGAAAGACACAAATTACAACATCTGCACAGCACGTCTTGCAGCTAAATGCTTCTATAGCAAAGTATAGTACTGATTTTACACTTTCCTTCTAAAATACACAAAACTGCTGAATTAAAAGGGGAAGTAAAAAAGGGTTTTTGGTCAACTTTATTTTTGCTGCTAGAGTAATCCAGTAATGTGAGAACCCCTGCTTAAGAACCAGAAAAGCTATTTCTAGGCTTATTTCTGTCAAAAGACAAAAAAAATATTAATATAATATTAAAAAGATTCTCCCAATCAACACTAGAAGTCAAACCTGCCTATTGATTGGTGATGCTGGAAGCAGAGAGCTAGGATGTAACAAAGCAAAGACTTCAAGGAGGTATACTTGGAGTGACCCTTTGAGGTGCTCACTGTATCCTGGCTATATTAGATTACAGAGAATTCCGATTAAAATAACCCAAGGGTATGTTTCGACTTCGACACAATTGCAGTTTTTGCTGGATATCCCTAGTAGCTGCTGGAATTCCTCTTTAGCCATTGTGGGACACAGAAGGCAAGGTGTGGGGTGTAGTTTATCATTTCCAGAAAATTAGGTCTGTTTTAGAAGGGTACTGGTTGATGAGCTCTTTAAAAATGACCGCTCTATTGGGGGAGTTTTCCCCTACTGGCTAAAGTTGGGAAATATGAAATATTTGCATAAATATTTCAATTTATATCTTTTTTTTTTTAAAATTTTTTTTTAATTTAATTAAAGCGGAGTTCTACCCAAAAGGGGAAGTTCCGCTTTAATGCTTTGTCCCCTGCTCTGCATTAAGAATTGGCACCTTTGGGGAGTGGGTACCCGAATTTGACAGCTACCTGCTCCCACTTCCGCTGCGATCGCCTAGGTGATCAGAAGTGGAAGTTGTTGTCCCTCCCTCCTCGTAGTCTTCTGGGACACGTGACAGGTCCCAGAAGACTACAGAGCCATTCACAAAGTGCAACGAAGCCGCAAGCTGTCACAGCCGGGTGCCCACACTAAAGATGCCGGCGCCAGGGAAAGAAGACGGACGGTAAAACCAGCCATAGTAAGGACACCGCTGGACCGAGGGACAGGTAAGTGGCTGTATTTTAAAAGTCAGCAGCTACAGTTTTTGTAGCTGCGGACATTTTTTTTTTTTTTCAGCTGGAACTCCGCTTTAATGTGGCTGGCAATTTTTCATTGAAGTCACTAGGGGGCTTTTTGCATTAAAGTCTATGAGATGCAATTTTGCATTGAAGTCACTAGGGGGCGTTTTTGCATTAAAGTCTATGAGACGCAATTTTGCATTGAAGTCACTAAGGGGGTGTTCTTACATTAAAGTGAATAGGGACACAAATTTGCATGAAGGTCTTTGAGACGCTATGTGCATTGAGGTCACTAGAGGGCGTTTTTACATAAAAGTCAACGAGATGCGACTTTGCATGTATCGGCAGTTATTTTTGTATCGGTAAAATGCCAATGACACTATATTCGGCCAGTATGTTTTGGCCGCCTATACATCTGTGTATCCCTACTTCTCATGCTGGATCCTTACTATTTCAATGTTATGGGTGGGGAAATTTTATATTTTTGGGAATCACTCTTCTTGGTATTATTCACCCAAATAAAATGTACCCAGGTTATTGTGATTTTGCAACAGATCTTTTTCACCTTTCCTTATTTACTACATTTGGCAGGTTTTAGAATCAGTAGAAAAGTTCCCTTAAAGATATTTCCCACATGTAGAAGTAAATCTTCAGTCAATACTTTTACAGTTTTGTATAGTGGCATGAAGGGTTGGAACCATAGGCTGTGTGTTCCAGCTGGAGAGGTTTACCCTCACCTCTGATGCCAATGACAGCGTGGTCACCAGGAAAGGAAGGGAGGGGAAGGCTCTCTAACAGGGACACAGCAGCAACAACTATACTATTTTCAGTAGAGGTGGTAAATGCGGTAACCTCCATTTTAAAACACTATACACCACTCCAGCTTGGTCCACTTCTCTCTAACCCCAAAAAAACACAGAAGCCAGTCTGGCTTGTACATGGAACATGGACAATTAACAGGTGAACGACCACACAAATTTATTGACAAAAAAAAAATCAAAAAGTCCAAATAGCATGACACATAGTAGTAAGTGCTGCTGTACGTCACGCCAATTGACAATTAATCATAACACCTTTTGGTTATGATTGTCTGTTGGCATGAAACGCGTCAACACTTGCTCTTGCTGTGCATCATGCTAACTGGACAATTTTAACTTTTTCAAAACTTATTGATCTTTGTGACAGTGTGTGGTCATCCACCTGTTAACTGTCCATCAGCTTTTTATTTGTTTGTGTTCCCACTGGATGTTCTACCTCACTTCATCTGGGAGTCCCAATGTTGATATTGGAATTCAAAGAAAGGGAAAATCTCACAGTGGATTTACAGACAGCAACAGAAAAAAAAAAAAATCTGCCTTTTGACTGTCTCTCTTTACTTTAGCAGGCTTCCATGGAACCCCAGGTTTCCTTCAGTGGTTGCTAGGGGTTCCTTGAGCATCAAGCAACTTATCTCTTTCAGATGGAGCAGCAATGGTCTTTTTTAGCTATCTGTAAGGGGGGATTCTTTCCAATAACCACAAATATAGGGAACATTCTCCACAGTGGCCATCACACTAATGTAGATGTAGAAATATTAGTAAAGTTTCCCCAATACCATAAAGTTAGGTTTCCTTACGTTAAAAAGGTTGATCTACATGAACTGCATTCATCATTGCCCTTCACATGTTCACTTCATTTTAATATTTAATATGCATCATGACTCAACCATCAAGTGAGCAACAATGTAGCATTCGGCTTACAAATAAAGAGCATAATCTCCCCCACAGATGCACACAAACATACTTTGTTATTATTTATATTATAAGTGTTAATTACCTGTACATTAATTTCAGAGTTTTAACAAATCCCATCAGCCAGCATACCAAATAAATAAATGCTCTTCTATATAAACCAAGTACTTTACCCAAAATGATGATCAATAACTAGGAATGCAAAAATTTCAATGCACACTGCAAAGCATTTTCTCCTTCATGTATAACATATCTGGCCACAAGGTGACACCACAGTCCTGTCGTCTGACAGATCTGTTCAGCGTTATGGCTCAGTATGTGCGGACACTTGGCTGACAGCAGAATATAAAGGACTCCACTTTCTATGAAAACCACCGACTTCTCAAACCTCTGCCTAGAGTTTCATTACAGTTTCACAATCCTTTTTCAGGTTACCTTTTTTTCAGAAATTTGAAATGCGGTGATGATCTATATTTGCTTAGAACACAATTACAGGATTTGAAAACACAAATGAGCAAATATGCCATACCTAATAATTTTGAAAGTGCTACCAAATTCAAAGCAACTAAATACAAACGCCCAAAGTTATGAGAGAACCCATTGTGTACCAACAAAGCTAACAATGAATGGAAAGTGGAGTTCATTAGCAGCAAGTCTATATTCTGAGTGAGTACTACATTGTTTATCTTAAAATGGACCTTCACTCTTGTCTTTTACTTAACATTATATTGCTCCCTCCCTCAACTTTGCAGATCATTTTTTTTACAAACACCTTTCTTTGGAAATGCCAATCTGAGCAGCTACCTTTCTTGACCTTGTAAGAATGATGTAGCCCCAGCTGCCCACAACCTTCTGGAATACCCATGCCATGACTCACAGAATTCTTTTGGGGCAATCTTCAGCTTATGCACTTGCACTGGGGCATGTCACCATTGTTCTGGCTGCAAGAACCCTGAGAACAAAGCCAGTTCACTTATGATTTACAAGTAGATGGTGGCTGGGACGAGGAGGAGAGCAGTGTAGGAGAAGAGGACCATGCAGAATCCACTGGCCTTGTTAGTATATTTATGAGAAAGATGACAAAGGATGCACTATGTTTTGTGAAAGCCCTTTTTAATGTAATTTTCACTTTTCTTTTTTTTTTGCAAAATCACTGTTAAAAATCCATTTATTTGAAAAACAAAAATGTTCATCCTGCTTTTTAAAATGTTATCGTCACTGCGGTCGAAAAGAAAAGTCTATTTGACTAATGGTTAGAAAAATGAACAAACTTTCTTAGTACCTTTTCCGAAGGATTTTCGTTTGAAATTCTACCCATCTATGGGCAGCTTAAGGGAGCAAATCTCTCAAAAGTAAGCCTGCACAGTTTATAGAGACAGAACATTTTTGAATGAGTCCAGTTCTGAATCTTTCTTTTTAAACTCCACCAATGAAAACCAAGCATAGGGGTCTCTTTGCACATGCTTCCCAGAGACAAATGCTAGAAACAACATGTCTTACATATAAGAAAATATCACTTTACAAATAACTCCTTTGTATCGTTATAGACAAATATACAAAAAAATTAATTTAGCTAAAGAAAGCCATTCCGCAAATGTTCATGTAATTAAGGAGATTATATAGATGAAAATATCTTCTTTTAGCCCAGTTACAACTATAAGGAAAACTTGTTGGCGTAATGACTGGACTTTAATGACATTTTGTAAAAAAGAAACTAATTTCAGGAACAGAAAAACTATGCCCAGCCAAGTGGTTCTCAGTGCAGAAGTGTCAATATTTAGAGTTTTGGGATACCTGTGCAGTACATTAGGCTTTTCTTTCTCTGGACTGAGTTACAAAGCATCAACATTCAGAAGATATTCAAGTAATTTATACCTTAGAGCAATGATAAAATCAATATTTCATTCTAGCAGCAAATACGCTGAAGTGTAAGAGCGATGCCCAAGGTTATTATACACAGCCTATTCAGCAATAAAGCCAGTTATTGTTTTAATGAATTGGCAGCAAGCTGTTCTGAAGCCTCTAATAAGAAAGCTACATTTTCAAGAAAACATACTGCCTGACCTTGTTGTTAGAAAAAGATGCTATATTAGTGTGGTAAAGGCCTGAAAAT